AGTCTCTTCTTTATATTTGAGGAAATCATCCAACATTCGCTGACATGAAGAAGAACAGACATCATATATTTGAACAGTTCTTTAACAGTTGGGAAATTATGATTTTTTTTTTCACTTCAACTATAATTATGTGGTTTCTGTAGACACCTCACAGCAAATACTTAACATTATTTTCTTTGTTTCATTTTTCTATTAATTACTAAAGTAGTTATGTCTGAATTGTCTGGCTTAATCTTTTTCTGGGCATTGTTTAATATAAAAACTTGGAGAGAGAACAATCAATATAATCCACAAATTTTATCAGCTTTTAGCTGTAATTTACATATTAAAAGTATTCATTGGTAGCACTGTATCATTGACACTGGTACCAGAAAATTGCACTAGTTACCACATACTTACTATAAAATGTAACATAATTGCCATATTCTCTCACTGGCATTTGCCTTAATTCCTAACAACTGGCACACAAAAAAAGAAGAGTGGTTAATTAATATTAAAGATATTGTTAAATCGTCTGAGTAGTAATTAATTCTTAAATATAACTAAGAACTACAAGAAAACTTTTACTGAAAATAAGAGAAAGTTAAATTCTTTGCAACACACAAAAGAGGACAGGAGAATTTTACACTTGCAGGACATAGTGAAGGAAAGAGAAGCTGTGGAGAGCCATACTCATCCAGAGAATTTAACACTCACAGGACATAGTGAAGGCAAGAGAGGCTGGGGAGATATGGCAAGTAACCTTCTAAATGTATTTGTATAAATGGATGGTAAAACAGGGACAAAGAAGGATGGTAAATGTTCAAAAGTTACTTTGAGCAACAAAAGACAGGAAGCTGGGGAGAGCCATACTCATCCAGATAATTTAACATGCACAGGGCATAGTGAAGGCAAGAGAAGCTGTAGAGAGCCATACTCATCCAGAGAATTTAAAACTCACAGGACATAGTGAAGGCAAGAGAAGTGGTGGAGAGCCATACTCATCCAGAGAATTTAACACTCACAGGACATAGTGAAGGCAAGAGAGGCTGGGGAGATATGGCAAGTAACCTTCTAAATGTATTTGTATAAATGGATGGTTAAACAGGGACAAAGAAGAATCAGGACATAGTGAAGGCAAGAGAAGTGGTGGAGAGCTATACTCATCCAGAGAATTTAACACTAACAGGCGGGAGAAGCAGCAAGTAACCTGTTTAATGCATTTGTAAAAATTGTTAGCAGAACAGGGACAAAGAAGGATGGTAATGTGTCAAAACAGACTAAATTGAGCAATGGTTACTCATGCACTAAAGGAACTTGGCACAGTAAAGAAGAAGAATGCTTTTTTTATTATATTTCTTTTTGAGCATGACACACCCTTTATCTAGGAAGGTTGGTATTAATCTAAAAGACTGTAAAGTTTCGCATGATTCTGAGCATTTAGATTGCCTTTCTTTAGCTAATTTCGGTTTCTGTTTTCTTTCTCAATGTTGGTTGCCAGAAGTATTTTTTCCATTTTCTTCTTTCTTTTAACGAGGCATCAGTACACATGCAAAGAGCACCAGAGCTCCTTTTGTGCATATAATGATTATAGAAAAGGAGGAATTATCATTTTCATTTTGGTATCATTTGGGAATCTTTTGTGTCACTTTCTGCAGGTGTGGGATCCATTCTTAATTTGCAGATTTCTATTTTATTTTTCCACCAGCATTTCCATCATTGTATTTGCTTCGGCTTTTTATTCACACTAATGGCATGATTTTCAAGTGACATTTGCCTGATGCTGCCTTTATCATGAAAATGGCCTCAATAACCTTCAGATACAGGCATATGCCACATTCATATATACACTTGTAATTAAGAGTGAAAGTAAAGGTGAAAAAAATATTAAATGTGCACTAATTTCAGATTCTTATGTGATTGAATTTACATCCAGGATCATGCAATATAACTCCTTTCCTGCTATTACAATGTGGAATTTATTGAAAACAATAGCAATAAAATAAAAGTGATTGAAAGCTGAATGAAATCAGTTAGGTTCCACATCTATAGAGATAAGATGTCAGAGATTTTAAAATTAAAATTTAAGGCTCAGGAATATCCTCAATATCAGGTGGCCGGAAGTCATCTCCAATAACCAGACAAGCCCCAATAGAGATTGACATCATGAAATAGAAATGAGGATGAATCATCCACACACTCCACAAACCTGCTTCTAGTGTCACCAGGTAGGCAGGCCCTTGACTGGAATCCACAAGGGAAGCAAAAAGTGGGTCAACGAAAACAGACTTGGTGCTGAAATGTTGACACAGTGATGAAGGCAGTTAGCCCAACATGGGACAAGCTGAAGAGGATCGCCCAGAACCACATCCGTTGGAGAGGTGTTGTTGTGGCTCTATGTTCTTCAAGGAATCAAACATAAAAAACCCTTGAATATACACCATAGAAGATGTAAAATTGTAATTGGTATTTCTTGTACACATTCATTTCTCAAATATATATATATATATATATATATATATATATATAATCACATGCGACCTGTGCAACAGAGATTGTCACTCCCCACATTGGCCTCTACAGTCACAAACATTGATGCTCCAGCCAAACAGACAACTAGGATGCTACCCATGGTCAACCTTGACTGACAGAAGCCTAAGATATATATGACACCAATAAGAATACCATTGTTTGTCTGAAAAGTTTAAAAGTTGCTTCTTGGGATAGAATCAGTCATGTACAAGTTTTGTCATCAATTACCAGCTATTAGTTCAATATATAGATTTGGATATCATCTCCTCCATGTAGAACTGTGCAAAAATTTCAGGTGAACCATAAACGTTGGTTCTTTTTTACTAAGGTTAGATGAAGCTATAATGTAAATAGTTTGAATTTTGCTTTGCTATTTTTCATCTTTAAAATATTTTTCTTACCATGAGTAACTCTAGGAGTGAGAATAAAAATCACCTCAAATTTTGGTAATTTAAATTGTAGGGATAAAAAAATAATCATGAAGAAAAACGTTTCTGCTTATAAATATATAAATACATATATTCTTAATCCATCCATATATATATATATATATATATATATATATATATATAACAACAAAGAAGAAGACTGAGAGTATCAGATGTGAGCAAAGAAGTTTTAAGGAAAATGTGAACAAAAAACAGAATTTATACTTTGATTGATTTGTTTTTATGGCTTTTTCAAGTTATTTAAAGCCATAAAATATTTTTAGATTGCAAGAATTTAGCATTGGATAATATTGATTTTTACTGATACAAGTTCTACTAATTAATCCATAGGATGGGGAAAGATGGATTCATACCTTTTCCAAGGGTAGTTTTCTGTAAGTGAATATAACATACCAATCTGAAATTGGAACACATATCTCTGATTTCCAATTCAACACCAGCCACACATCTGAGCTTACAGGACCTGGTATTCCTAAGCAGTCACCCATCTAATTTCATTCTAGGTATGATGATAAACTACATCCAGCAGCATGGCAACTGATTGGGATGTTTTGAGGAGCATGGAACCACCTCTTAATTGCCGTTGGTTCAGGTGCACTCTGATCCAAAGTGGTAGCACCTGTTATGGTCCAAGCTATGGCCAAATAGTGAACTCTTCAAACTGGGGTCAAAGTATGAAAATATAAAAAAAACATTAGAAAAATTACATTTTTGGAAGAAAAAAAAAAATTACCAAAGCTCAAGGAAAGTAAATTTCAATATTAAATGACCCATAAGAAGTTAATAAGCTGTTTAAACAAACCAAACCCATCTAAGTACTTGGCAATCATACAAGAAGCAGTGTTTCAATATGATATGGCTGTAAGCTCACTTATACTTAGAAATTTCAGATTTTTTCTTTATTCTATATACATGTATAGAGAAGTCTTGGCAAATATGATACTCACAGGGCATACTGTAGTCAAGAGAGGCAGAAGAAAATGTTGAGTCACCTACCTTTCTTGTGAAAGCTTGTGTAAATGGATTGTAGATCAGATAGTGGAAGTGTTGTTAGTAAAAAGACAAACATTGCTAAAATGATACCAAGAGCCATGGTCACCCACATCTAAGAGTTTCTGCATTTGTTTTCTCTGTCTGCCATTAACACAGTGTCACCTGGAAGTTGTTCAGATTGCACCCACCAATGTTACCTGAATGTTATCTTTGGGTGGATGTTCTGCAAATTGACTGCTGAGTTACTTTATGGAGTATGTTCTTTGACAAGAGGTATTCTGTACAAAACACTGATAATTGCAGTTTAGTAGTGGGCAATAAAACACCTGCATTTCCCATGTGCAATTATGCCATACAAACTATCAATGTGTCAAAATTACTTTGGCTGAATATGTTTCTTGTTTTTGGCAGCAATGTTTATAGATTGTAATTATGGTGAGTCATGCAACTGCAAATGTGGGCCACGCATTGTATGCTGATAGGTGACGGCACACTGTTTAAACTAGAGGTGGCATTTTCTAGAAGAGATGATTTGAAATTACATTTGGCACAGATTTTTATGAAATACTTTTTTATGCTCAGAAAATGGTTCTAGTTCTAAGAATGTTGTTTCCTTGATTCTCTCTGGAGTAGTTCTTAAATAAAATAACAAGCATCATACCTGTTTACCTTTTTATCCCATCATAAATAAAAACAAAAGTAACATCTACACATATCAAGGAAAGAAGGCTTGAAGAATTTGATACTCAGCAGGATATATTTGAAGGAAAGCAGATCAAATGAAAATAGCAAGTAAACTACTTAATAAGTATGTGTAAATGAATTAGTGGGAAGGATGATGAAAAGATAATTCTTACTGAGAGTTACAAAAGGCAGGAAGTTGTGGAGACTCATGATCGCCAACGTTTTGCCTCTTTATAACAAGCCAGGAAGCCTACTGCTGTACATGTTAACTTCATCCCTTCCTATTTCTCTGTCAAAATGCTTCCTCATCTATACTTGCCCTTCAATCATTTACATTGTCTTTATATCCATCCAGTAAAGGCTTACAGCCATATCATGTTTAAACATTGGTTCCCATATGATCACTGAAGTTAAGCAACATTGAGCATGGTCAGTACCTAGATGGGTGACCACTTGGGAATATCTGGTGCTGTAAG